ATCAGCATTACATTGGGAGGGAGGAAAAGAGGGGTGCAGCTTTAATACATCTGAATACCGATAACATCAGCATTAGACTGGGAGGGAGGAAAGGAGGGGCGCAGCTTTAATACATCTGAATACCGAGAACATCAGCATTAGACTGAGAGGGAGGAAAAGAGGGGTGCAGCTTTAATAAATCTGAATACCGAGAACATCAGCATTAGAGTGGGAGGGAAGAAAGAAGGGGTGCAGCTTTAATACATCTGAATACCGAGAACATCAGCATTAGAGTGGGAGGGAGGAAAGAAGGGGTGCAGCTTTAATACATCTGAATACCGAGAACATCAGCATTAGACTGGGAGGGAGGAAAGGAGGGGTGCAGCTTTAATACATCTGAATACCGAGAACATCAGCATTAGACTGGGAGGGAGGAAAGGAGGGGTGCAGCTTAAATACATCTGAATACCGAGAACATCAGCATTAGACTGGGAGGGAGGAAAGGAGGGGTGCAGCTTTAATACATCTGAATACCGAGAACATCAGCATTAGACTGGGAGGGAGGAAAGGAGGGGTGCAGCTTTAATACATCTGAATACCGAGAACATCAGCATTAGACTGGGAGGGAGGAGTGAGTGAGTGAGTGAGTGAGTGAGTGAGTGAGTGAGTGAGTGAGTGATTGAGGTTTTACGCCACTTTTAGCAATATTCCAGCAATATCACGGCGGGGGACACCAGAAATGGGCTTCACACATTGTACCAATGTCGGGAATCGAACCCGGGTCTTCGGCGTGACGTGCTAACGCTTTAACCACTAGGCTACCCGACCGCCCCCTGGGAGGGAGGAAAGGTGGGGTGCAGCTTTAATACATCTGAATACCGAGAACATCAGCATTAGACTGGGAGGGAGGAAAGGAGGGGTGCAGCTTTAATACATCTGAATACCGAGAACATCAGCATTAGACTGGGAGGGAGGAAAGGAGGGGTGCAGCTTTAATACATCTGAATACCGATAACATCAGCATTAGACTGGGAGGGAGGAAAGGAGGGGTGCAGCTTTAATACATCTGAATACCGATAACATCAGCACTAGACTGGGAGGGAGGAGTGAGTGAGTGAGTGAGGTTTTACGCCACTTTTAGCAATGTTCCAGCAATATCACGGCGGGGGACACCAGAAATGGGCTGCACACATTGTACCAATGTCGGGAATCGAACCCGGGTCTTCGGCGTGACGTGCTAACGCTGTAACCACTAGGCTACCCGACCGCCCCCTGGGAGGGAGGAAAGGTGGGGTGCAGCTTTAATACATCTGAATACCGAGAACATCAGCATTAGACTGGGAGGGAGGAAAGGAGGGGTGCAGCTTTAATACATCTGAATACAAAGAACATCAGCATTAGATTGGGAGGGAGGAAAAGAGGGGTGCAGCTTTAATACATCTGAATACCGAGAACATCAGCATTAGACTGGGAGGGAGGAAAGGAGGGATGCAGCTTTAATACATCTGAATACCGAGAACATCAGCATTAGACTGGGAGGGAGGAAAAGAGGGGTGCAGCTTTAATACATCTGAATACAGAGAACATCAGCATTAGAGTGGGAGGGAAGAAAGAAGGGGTGCAGCTTTAATACATCTGAATACCGAGAACATCAGCATTAGAGTGGGAGGGAAGAAAGAAGGGGTGCAGCTTTAATACATCTGAATACCGAGAACATCAGCATTAGACTGGGAGGGAGGAAAGGAGGGGTGCAGCTTTAATACATCTGAATACCGAGAACATCAGCATTAGACTGGGAGGGAGGAAAGGAGGGGTGCAGCTTTAATACATCTGAATACCGATAACATCAGCATTAGACTGGGAGGGAGGAAAGGAGGGGTGCAGCTTTAATACATCTGAATACCGAGAACATCAGCATTAGACTGGGAGGGAGGAAAGGAGGGGTGCAGCTTTAATACATCTGAATACCGAGAACATCAGCATTAGACTGGCAGGGAGGAAAGGAGGGGTGCAGCTTTAATACATCTGAATACCGAGAACATCAGCATTAGACTGGGAGGGAGGAAAGGAGGGGTGCAGCTTTAATACATCTGAATACCGAGAACATCAGCATTAGACTGGGAGGGAGGAAAGGAGGGGTGCAGCTTTAATAATCTGAATACCGAGAACATCAGCATTAGACTGGGAGGGAGGAAAGGAGGGGTGCAGCTTTAATATATCTGAATACAAAGAACATCAGCATTAGATTGGGAGGGAGGAAAAGAGGGGTGCAGCTTTAATACATCTGAATACCGATAACATCAGCATTAGACTGGGAGGGAGGAAAGGAGGGGTGCAGCTTTAATACATCTGAATACCGAGAACATCAGCATTAGACTGAGAGGGAGGAAAAGAGGGGTGCAGCTTTAATAAATCTGAATACCGAGAACATCAGCATTAGAGTGGGAGGGAAGAAAGAAGGGGTGCAGCTTTAATACATCTGAATACCGAGAACATCAGCATTAGAGTGGGAGGGAAGAAAGAAGGGGTGCAGCTTTAATACATCTGAATACCGAGAACATCAGCATTAGACTGGGAGGGAGGAAAGGAGGGGTGCAGCTTTAATACATCTGAATACCGAGAACATCAGCATTAGACTGGGAGGGAGGAAAGGAGGGGTGCAGCTTAAATACATCTGAATACCGAGAACATCAGCATTAGACTGGGAGGGAGGAAAGGAGGGGTGCAGCTTTAATACATCTGAATACCGAGAACATCAGCATTAGACTGGGAGGGAGGAAAGGAGGGGTGCAGCTTTAATACATCTGAATACCGAGAACATCAGCATTAGACTGGGAGGGAGGAGTGAGTGAGTGAGTGAGTGAGTGAGTGAGTGAGTGATTGAGGTTTTACGCCACTTTTAGCAATATTCCAGCAATATCACGGCGGGGGACACCAGAAATGGGCTTCACACATTGTACCAATGTCGGGAATCGAACCCGGGTCTTCGGCGTGACGTGCTAACGCTTTAACCACTAGGCTACCCGACCGCCCCCTGGGAGGGAGGAAAGGTGGGGTGCAGCTTTAATACATCTGAATACCGAGAACATCAGCATTAGACTGGGAGGGAGGAAAGGAGGGGTGCAGCTTTAATACATCTGAATACCGAGAACATCAGCATTAGACTGGGAGGGAGGAAAGGAGGGGTGCAGCTTTAATACATCTGAATACCGATAACATCAGCATTAGACTGGGAGGGAGGAAAGGAGGGGTGCAGCTTTAATACATCTGAATACCGATAACATCAGCATTAGACTGGGAGGGAGGAAAGGAGGGGTGCAGCTTTAATACATCTGAATACCGAGAACATCAGCATTAGACTGGGAGGGAGGAAAGGAGGGGTGCAGCTTTAATACATCTGAATACCGAGAACATCAGCATTAGACTGGCAGGGAGGAAAGGAGGGGTGCAGCTTTAATACATCTGAATACCGAGAACATCAGCATTAGACTGGGAGGGAGGAAAGGAGGGGTGCAGCTTTAATACATCTGAATACCGAGAACATCAGCATTAGACTGGGAGGGAGGAAAGGAGGGGTGCAGCTTTAATAATCTGAATACCGAGAACATCAGCATTAGACTGGGAGGGAGGAAAGGAGGGGTGCAGCTTTAATATATCTGAATACAAAGAACATCAGCATTAGATTGGGAGGGAGGAAAAGAGGGGTGCAGCTTTAATACATCTGAATACCGATAACATCAGCATTAGACTGGGAGGGAGGAAAGGAGGGGTGCAGCTTTAATACATCTGAATACCGAGAACATCAGCATTAGACTGAGAGGGAGGAAAAGAGGGGTGCAGCTTTAATAAATCTGAATACCGAGAACATCAGCATTAGAGTGGGAGGGAAGAAAGAAGGGGTGCAGCTTTAATACATCTGAATACCGAGAACATCAGCATTAGAGTGGGAGGGAAGAAAGAAGGGGTGCAGCTTTAATACATCTGAATACCGAGAACATCAGCATTAGACTGGGAGGGAGGAAAGGAGGGGTGCAGCTTTAATACATCTGAATACCGAGAACATCAGCATTAGACTGGGAGGGAGGAAAGGAGGGGTGCAGCTTTAATACATCTGAATACCGAGAACATCAGCATTAGACTGGGAGGGAGGAAAGGAGGGGTGCAGCTTTAATACATCTGAATACCGAGAACATCAGCATTAGACTGGGAGGGAGGAAAGGAGGGGTGCAGCTTTAATACATCTGAATACCGAGAACATCAGCATTAGACTGGGAGGGAGGAGTGAGTGAGTGAGTGAGTGAGTGAGTGAGTGAGTGAGTGAGTGAGTGAGTGAGTGATTGAGGTTTTACGCCACTTTTAGCAATATTCCAGCAATATCACGGCGGGGGACACCAGAAATGGGCTTCACACATTGTACCAATGTCGGGAATCGAACCCGGGTCTTCGGCGTGACGTGCTAACGCTTTAACCACTAGGCTACCCGACCGCCCCCTGGGAGGGAGGAAAGGTGGGGTGCAGCTTTAATACATCTGAATACCGAGAACATCAGCATTAGACTGGGAGGGAGGAAAGGAGGGGTGCAGCTTTAATACATCTGAATACAAAGAACATCAGCATTAGATTGGGAGGGAGGAAAAGAAGGGTGCAGCTTTAATACATCTGAATACCGAGAACATCAGCATTAGATTGGGAGGGAGGAAAGGAGGGGTGCAGCTTTAATACATCTGAATACCGAGAACATCAGCATTAGACTGAGAGGGAGGAAAGAAGGGGTGCAGCTTTAATACATCTGAATACCGAGAACATCAGCATTAGACTGAGAGGGAGGAAAAGAGGGGTGCAGCTTTAATAAATCTGAATACCGAGAACATCAGCATTAGAGTGGGAGGGAAGAAAGAAGGGGTGCAGCTTTAATACATCTGAATACCGAGAACATCAGCATTAGACTGGGAGGGAAGAAAGAAGGGGTGCAGCTTTAATACATCTGAATACCGAGAACATCAGCATTAGACTGGGAGGGAGGAAAGGAGGGGTGCAGCTTTAATACATCTGAATGCCGAGAACATCAGCATTAGACTGGGAGGGAGGAAAGGAGGGGTGCTGCTTAGAACAGGAGATTAACATTGGGGGATAGTCCAGTGATGCAGGCTGTCAGTGTTTGTAGTTTAACGCCGCACTCAGCAATGTTCCAGCTATATGAGGGCGGTCTGTAAATAATCGAGTCAGGACCAGATAATCCAGTGATTGACATCATGAGCATTGGTCCACGCAATTGGGATACGATGACCTGCATCAACCAAGTCAGCGAGCCTGACCACCCCATCCCTAGTCACATCTTACAACAAGCATAGTTGCCTAAAAGAAAAGTAAGGGTTGCAGAAGACGTATCCGAACCAGGATCTACACGGTTCAGGTTGTCTGAATGTGTGAATTGTGTGACCTAATGGTAGGTGTCTAAGAAACTATGCAGATATGTACATATTGACACGGAATCTTTTCAGAAACACACATGGAAATATCCTAACAAATGTTCGGGAGTAAAGTATGAAAAGGTTCACAGACAGATTCAAGCAGTTACACAATTATCCCAAGTTGGCCAAATCTCTGATCTGGACAAGGACCAAGGCCATAGTAACCTTTTATAGGTAAACTAATTGCAAATGATTCAAGGCATTTGATTGGCTAACCAAGCAAGTACTTTCATGTTGATGTTTCCACGTATAATAAACATGGTGAAACAGGGATTAAAACCCATATCTATCTGGTGGTCATTACGGCAAAGGGAAACAACTCTGCACACCAACAATTTTGAAAGTGGAACTGGGAATGATATGAACATTGTAGGCATAGAATATTACTTTCCATACTGCAGCATCGTGGTTTTCTCGTTTCTTCCCGAGACTCCCCAATCAATATCCTTATTCCATGAAAAACCAGGAGGAAACCATTCACATCTTGTGTGGCAAAATCAAAACCAAATACTTTTCAGTGTCTAATTAATCTACGACAGCCAGCTCATTATGAACAGAAGTAATTTCACGGTTGATCCACCGGGGGGGGGGGGGGGGGGGGGGGGGGGGGAGGAATGTGTGCATAACATGCCGAATTCATCTACACTCGCTAATATCACAAATTTCTGGAATTCAGTCGAGTTCAATTTGGGCACTTTTTAGTCAAATAACTCATTTTCCTTGGTACAAACAGAGAAATATATGTCATAAGACAATCTAATCAGTCAGGCTTGTCCTGACCTGCAGACAATATTTGAAGCAGACAATATCAGTAGCAGAAAAGCTTCAAAGCAGACAATCTTTGATGGTTGCTTATTTAAACATTCTTTCTAAGCATTGATGCAATATACACAACTGCAGGGGAATAGCAATAAAGGTGGTAACTTCAGCAAGATCAAATACTTTTCTAAATGTTCTCATAAATGAAATTGAACCAACTTCAAGGTCATGTATGACAAAAACTGTGGCGTCCAAATTCTGTCAGTACACCATCTCTGGCGGACCCGTGAAGATCCGGGGTAGAATAGGTCTTCAGCAACCGATGCTTGCCGTAAAAGGCGACTATGCTTGTCGTAAAACGCGACTAATGGGATCGGGTGGTCAGGCTCGCTGACTTGGTTGTTCATGATGTCAATCACTGGATTGTCTGGTCCAGACTCCATCATTTACAGACCGCCGTCATATAGCTGGAATATTGCTGAGTGCGGCATAAAACAACAAACCAAACCAAACCAAACCAAACCAAACCATCTCTGGCGATCACTTTTCTTGACAAAGGCTACAAATTGTAGGTAAAGGTAGTGTTTTGCATTACTTTGTGCTAGGCCAACTCCCACCAGCCCCGGTAACATAATATGTTTCAAGTAATCGCCTCTAGCTTCTAATTTCTCCCCTTTTCCTTTTTACCAATTGGCTGAAAATTCCAGGCATACCATCATAAGCTCCGTACACAAGCAAGAAGATTTTGAAAAGATCTCGGAAGGATTGTAGGATGTGCAAAAACAGTGCCTGCAGCAAGTTGATGAGTTCTGTTTTCCTCGTCAGAAGTGTTTGGGTGGAACACGATAACAATTCAGCTATGTGGAGGTGGCCAGTGTCACACACAGCCCGAAATTACCCCCGATTTCGGTGAAGAAGAAGTGTAACCTTCAGTGACAAGCTATTCCGAATGCTTACATCAACACTAGTTTTTCTGTCTGGTCTCATGTCATGTTTTATACAGTTGCTTGTAGGTTAGGTTGTGATACGCTAATAACACCATCGTAACACAACAGTGAAACTTGACTGGAAAGTACATCTACAAAAATAAAAAGATTTCCCGAGTCTTCATTATTAAGGAGTTAGTTGGATAACACTGCTTTGAACAGAATTTCAGTTATCCCGGAGTCAGATTATTGAGGGAGAAAAACCCAGAGTTTTAGCTGTTTACCATTTTGGTGAAACACAAGTCAAAATGTTTGTATACCGCTTTTAGCAATATTCCAGCAATATCATGTACTCCAGAATGTTGGGGATCAAACCTGTGTCTTCGGCATGATGAGCCAAGGCTCTAACCAGAAGGCTACCCAATCACTCCTAGTGAATAATGAATAAGTAAGATTTGTATAATGTCACAATCTAAACATTCGAAAGATGTGAGGTGAAATTTGGTTTAACGTTGCGTCCAAGATTATTGCACTTATATAGCATGCACGTGTATGTGTTTGTGTGTGGCTGCTTGTACTAGTCCAGACTGATGCCGATTTATAGTGCTAGCTCACTGAGATACCATGCCCCAGTTTAACATGAATACCCCATTCAGTCACAGTATACTGACTCCGAGCCGACCAGTCCTTGTTTTAGCCCCTTAATGCCGAGCGCCAGACAGGGTAACAATAAGTACAATCTTTTAACGTCTTTTTGCATGATGCGGCCGGGGATCAAACCCCGGACCTTCCGCTCTCCAGGTGGACGCTCAACCACAAGACCACTGAGGCGGTCTTTGTTGGGAATAAAGCATCGCACCACTGAGATGTCATATCATACAGCGTCATCTCGGGCATGACATCCAACCACAACTGGATTACGCATATCTGCCAAAGATCTTAAGTCTTACTCAAACATGCATTCTCCCAATTTTGTTTTGAAATATTGCTTTTACCTGCATGAGGTCCATTTTTTCCTTCTCGCCAGTGTTGACATGTTGCTGCAACTGTCGGATCTCTGCGATGATGGCTTGGGCTTGCGTCACATTGTATCCTCCGCCCAGTCCCGCCAGCTTCTGGTCCACCCTGCACAAACAGACACAGGACATTACTACACGACTGTCACAAGTCTATGGTGAAGTACGTTTGCTATAATCGCCTAAGTTTTTATGTGTATTTGTTCTTGTTTAACACCGCACTCAGTAATATTCTAGTGATATATATACGGCTATGGTTTATTATGACAGATAGTATGATGTAAGAAATACAGGCAATGGTAAAATCGGCCTAATGTTTCCCCTTTCTTCTACTTAATGGGACCAGCTTCCTGTAGCCAAATAACTCCTGTCTCGTTGGCTCAAAAAGTACATTTGGAATCCTTGCATACATTTAACTTTCTCTTTAAATGTCTAACTGTACGTGATAACCACACATCTACGTCCCCACTGCAATAGTATCTTCCGTGTAAAATATGTGCTGAATTGTGTTCAGGGTGGAGGCAGTATGGGTCGCAATAAAAAACAGCTTTTTTTATTGAAGGAAGTTTTATAGGACAGTCAGTATTATTTCAGCTATATTATGATGACTTTAAACGATTGGAATCTGGACAAGAAAAATCAGTGATTGACCGTACCACCAACATAACCTGTTCCTTTTGTTTGTTTGTTTGTTTGTTTGTTGTTTAACACCGAACTCAGCAATATTCCAGCTATATCATGGCTGTCTGTAAATTATCGAGTCTGGACCAAACAATCGAGTGATTTACATCATGAGCATCAATCAAGTCAGCAAGCCTGACCACCTGATCACAAAGTCACCTTTTATGACAAGCATAGTCACTTTTGACACCATGCATAGGTTGCAGAAGACCTATTCTACCCCGGATCTTCACGGGTCCAACCTGTTCCTTTCTGCCTGAATCCCAAATGGAGGATTTGAGACACAGAAAACCAGTGGTTTGATAACACGACAACAATCCACACATCTGGTCAGAGCTCAAGATATCTTTTTGAACAATTGAGTTTTTACTCTAGGGTTTCCATTTTAATTGGGTTATTACATTTTTCATTGGGTAACCAATATTTTTTTCACTCATCTATTCATCACTCTATTGGTTTTTTCCCAAAATAAGTGAATTTTTTAAGATTAAAAAAACCCAATGAAACAATGTTTTAGATGTATATAACTGTTCTAAACATACAGGCATGACTCTGAAAGTAAATTAGCTCGTAATTGTGTTTTCAAAATTAGCTCCTTTGTACGGATACTGGAAAAGCTTCACTGAGTATTTACAGGTGCTGTTTTTATACATTCGAGTTTTTCATCTAATGCATGAGTTTCTGTCCGCAAGTTAATTGAAACTAATTGAGTTTTGAATATTTTGGGGGGGGGGGGGGGGGGGGTATTTTAGCAAATATGCTTATCTGTAGCTCTGTCTGATGGGTTGACACACAGACTACACACTGGGGGCCTGTTCTCCTGTATACATTCAAGGAAGGATTTGACTACACGCACTGGCAGCCCGATTGATTCAAGTCTTAAAAATTGCTTCTCATTCTAGCGACACACATTTTGTGAAGTGTATAAATTTATTTAATAAGCCCTACTTAAACTCAGACAATATGTCATGTCACACACATAGCACTACTAACTGTGTGTAGACCTGTACCATGAGGAATACCCACCCCTTTAAGAGGCCTAACATGTACACTCCATATTACTTTTACGTCATCCTTCCAACACCAAACTTTGGACCAACACATAAACTGGACCTGAGTATATTGCCCTCTTAAAAGTGACAGCACCTAGTGTTTTATAACAGAGCATAGTCCCCCTTAAAAAATGACTACACCCAGTGTTTTGTAACAAAATAGTGCCCCTTTAAAAGTGACAGCAGCCAGGGTTTTTAAAAAAGCATGGTGTCCCCTTAAAAGTGACAGCACCCAGGGTTTTTAAAAAAGCATATTGCCCCTCTTAAAAGTGACAGCACCCCATGTTTTATAACAGAGCATAGTGCCCCTTTTAAAATGACTACACACAGTGTTTTATAACTCCAGACTGAATGTTGTCAATATGCAACCAACAAGACAGTTTTGTGCAGGTACAGAATACCTGTGTCCCCTCAATAACGAGGTCAGTCCCCCAGCGAAGGGGCAGGTAACAGGACAGGTAACATGGAGGAATTTAACCTCCTGGATAACAATAGAGCCATTCTTCCATCTCTGCTAAGTGGGAAGGCACAAAACAGAATGTCAGGATTAAATAACGCCTGCGTCAACTGGGAGACGTTGGGCTCAGATTTTCCTCATCGGAAATGTAAATAAAAATCTGGAGGTAAAATATTTCCGTTTCACTAGAAGTGGCAAAATGTTACCTTTTCACTTACAAGAACAAACTATCTCCATTAATCAATTACAAGAGACAAGGATGTATAAGAAGAACGTCAACCTGACAAATGTAAAACTGATAAAAACATGGGATTAATCCGGAAATTCAGAGACTCTGTTTTGAACTATATCTGTTGTCAGCTTGATGTGGGACGAAATCCTGAAGTGATGCAAATCTTAAAGTGAGTAAGTGAGTGAGTGAGTAGAGTTTTACGCCACTTTTAGTAAAATTCCAGCAATATCACAGTGGGGGGACACCAGAAAAGGCTTCACACATTGCACCTATGTGGGGAATTGAACCCCTTGCTTCCGGCATGATGAGAGAAAACTTTCACCGCTGGGCTACCCCATCGCACCAGGTCTTAGACATTTACTACTTTGGTGAAACCAGAAAAGTAGAGGTACAGTGCTGACAAACCTAGAAACATAATCAAGGAGAATTGGGAGGCAAACCATTTGAAACGAAAATCATGTTGTTCAAATTGAAACATAAACGATGTCATATAAAACCTAACAGTTGGGAATAAAACTCAAATTCAACATTGAAAATCTGGACTTAATATCATATCAGTGCCACAGCACTTAGGCCAAGACCCGTGAAGATCCGGGTTAGAATAGGTGTTCAGCAACCCATGCTTGCCGTAAGAGGCGACTATGCTTGTCATAAGAGGCGACTAACCGGGTCGGGTGGTCAGGCTCGCTGACTTGGTTGATGCAGGTCATCGTATCCCAATTGCGTGGATCGATGCTCATGGTGTCAATCACTGGATTGTCTGGTCCAGACTTGATTATTTACAGCTTCCATCATATAGCTTGCATATTGCTTAGTGCGACATTAAACAACAAACAAACAAACTTAGGCCAAACAGCTGAATGGCACTAGTTGCTTTACAGTAGTTCTATTTTAAACTTATCTTCCTATGCTTTTATTTTCACTTAAGTTATATCACAATTTCTGAGTTAAATAGAAAAGGACATTTTGTGATGCTTTTCACATTCTATATCACCTTACGAAAAAGGTTTGAATGACAAAGTTGTAGACTAAAGAGATATCATTAACCGTTTTGTGCATTTCTCGTCGCCTCTTTAGACCATACTTGTAAGTCCATTAGGATCTGCTGCTACAACTCGATACCATGAGGCAGAACTTCAATAGACTTAATAGTTAAAATGCCACCTCGGTCTCGCCTAGAAACAGTTGTTGTTTGTTGTTTCCATACTCAGCAATATTCCAGCCATAAGACGGTGATCTGTAAATAATCAAGTCTGGACCACACAATCCAGTGATTGACATCATGAGAATCAATCCACGCAATTTGGATACGATGAAATGCATCAATCAAGCCTGTGATCCTAACCACCCGATTCCGTTATTCACCTCTTATGACAAGCCTAGTCGCCTCTTACGGCAAACATGGGTTGCTTAAGACCTATTCTACCCCGGATCATCATGGGTGTCTCCGAGAAACAAACGCCACTTGATTGGGGTGGTCAGCTTGGAGACTTTGTTGATTGTATAACGCAATTCTCAATGACATTGGACATTATGAATAATCTCTATCAATGATTCGTATGGTTCTGACTCACCTATTTACAAGCTGCGCTAATAAAGCTGGACTAATACTGTCCAGTGTATTATGTACAACAAAACTTTTTCACTTTGATAAATGAGGTGTGAATGAGGAGTGAATGAGTTTTTTTTAGCATAACAATACTACTGACAACTGTTTGAACTATTAGGTAAATGGAGAATTATAAATATACGTATTTACTGAAAAAGTAGACCCTGCTGAAGACCCTGCCTAAAGTCAGCAGTCAGTTATCTCCCCTTGTGACACTGACCTTGGTGTCAACATGACTTGCAAAACAGACAGACATGGATTAAGGGTGGACATTATATGAAAAAATATCAGAGTGAGTGAGTGAATTTTGCTTAATGCCATATCAGCAATCTCGCAGCTATTTACCGCAAGGAATAATTTCATCCACTTAACATACAGGAGGTATTTCCCCTTCTATGGTCAAGCGTTCGTCCAATATGCATTAAACGTTTATTTGGTAAAAGATTTATATAACCATATAAACAGAAGATACATTGAGAGCTACCTCCTTTCATTATATGGCGTATCACACATCGTCCATGGTGAAATCCATTTCAGAACGTTCTGAATCACGTCCCCCACGTCACACGAGACAACCAGAGGGACCAGAACCTCATGTGATCACTGTATCAAACTATCATCCACTAAAGATATCTATCAAATGTGCCACCATGCTGTAGGTACATTGAGGGATTTACTAGTTCTCCAGTGACATGGGTAGGGAACAAGGTGAGGTGAGGTGAGGTGAAAGTGGGTTTAACGTCACGTCCAAGATTATTGCACTTATATAGCGACGTGCATGCACGTGTATGTGTGTGTGTGGCTGTTTGTACTCACTGAGATACATGCCGCAGTTTAACATGAATACCCCACTCAGACACAATATACTGACTCCGAGCCGACCAGTCCTTGTTCTAGCCCCTTAATGCCGAGCGCCAGACAGGGTAACGACAAGTACAATCTTTTGACGTCTTTTTGTATGACGCGGCTGGGGATCGAACTCCGGACCTTCCGCTCTCCTGGCAGATGCTCTACCACAAGACCATGGAGTCGGTCGGAAAAAGAGGCCCAAGCGGTTACTGAGGTGACAAAACATCAAGAGTTATCTTACCTTGTCAGTGTCTCCACGCCTCTCTCCTTGTACTGCATTTCCGCCCGAATCTGCTCCAGTTCATTTTTGAGTCGAGCCACACTTTTCCGCGCCAGAGGAGGTCCGGGTCATACTTCGTACTGCCTACACTGGAGTTGGAGTTCACTGAAAGAAGATGTCAAGGCAATGTGAAGGAACTGTTTGGTCAGCGACACTCCTCTTTATCACATAAAGGCTTGTGTTGTTGATGCAATAAACCAATCTGATTAACTGTATCATGATCCAATAAATATGCAAATGAGGTTGCCTGGCAGGAACTACTTTCAAGCTCCATACATCAAAGTGATGCCCACATTCGTAATAAACTATTGACTAATATTCCCAAATGCTTAGACAGGCATTTCCCATAAGTCATCATAACACGGCAACAAACATGGCTGCAAGTTTTTTTGGCACAATTTGACAAAATGGGATGATCACTCAAAAATTGTATTCATGCACGATTTCAAAAGCTACTTTATTGAGTGAAATTACGTCTTAAACATTTATTATTTTAAGAAAGACATATGACAAAAAGATATGACCCTCGTATGTATGGCTCAGGTAATACATATTTTATTCCTAATATATATTTACGACACAGAAATAGACTCGACTTTTAATCTCTATTTATCACAACAGCCTTTTTTTCAAGTCTTGGCCAGTGAAGATGTGAGCATTCATCCACAAGTGAGTGAGTGACTGAGCATGGTTTTCTGCCACTTTAAGCAATATTCCAGCAATATCACGGCAGGGGAACACCTGAAATGGGCTTCATACATTTGACCAATGTAGGGAATCGAACCCGGCCTTCAGCATGACGAGAACGCTTTAATCACTAGGCTACCCCACCGTCCCTCCATCCATCAGGTCATGGCACGGACTGAAAAGTATTCAATTTCAAGTGTGCCATGGGGAACTTATCCGCATGTGCAGTTGTTTTCACTACCAGCATAGAAAAAAGGTTTAAGAACATAAATCATTTCCAAACCAACAGACATGAATAAATATTTTATTTGACTTGGTCGCATTATCTTATAACATAATTTAGTCTTCAGCAACCCATGCTTGCTGTAAAAGGCGACTATGCTTGTTGTAATGAAATTGGGTGGATAGGCTCGCTGACATGGTTGATGCATGTCATCGATTCCAACTGCGTGGACTGATGCTCATGATATCAATCACTGGATTGTCTGATCCAGACTCGATTATTTACAGACCGCCTTCATATAGCTGGAATATTGCTGAGTATTGCCAACCAACATAACATAATTTACAAGAACATCTTGACTAAGTCACTATAACTCGCGAACAAGAACATACTTCCCAGGCCATTAATCTCCACTACAAGCTAAGTCTATTCTCAACAGACTTTCCATTGTTACACCAGACTGCCATTTAAGCAGGTAAGAGTTCTTAGTAGCAATTGAAGCTCGATTACCTGGCACTCCCGTCTAAATGGGCTACTTTACGATACACTGGTCAAGAATGTAGCCCTTATCTGCCAGGAGAGAAACTGTTTTGTTTCACATGTTCCACCTCACAAGAAGATACCCTAATACCTAGACCAGTGCAAGTCATCAGTGTCTGGTAGTACTTGTGGTCTTTACAGACATAATCATACTGTACAGTGGGGTCTGTTTGCATGAGGAGGAACCACTGTGGTGAAGTGAGGGGATGGACGGGAGGGGAGGGGAAGGGGTCAGAAGATTAAAGGAGAGAGGGAAGGAGTCATTGCGGGGAGGGAATAATGAGGAGGGGAGAGGAGAGAAGAAGGGAGTCAGAGGATTGGAGCAGAGAGGGAGAGGAGAGAGCGTCAGAAGAAGGGAGGGGAATCAAAGAGAAACAGACCATCAGAGGCAAGGGAGGGGAGTGGGGCTTCAGGGAGTAAGAGGGAATCGGAAGGGGGACGAGGGACGAGGGAGTAGGAAGAGGAAGTCGGAGGTGGGGAGAGGAGAGAGCGTCAGAAGAAGGGAGGGGAAAGTGGAATCAAAGAGAAAAAGGGCATCAGAGGCAAGGGGAGGGGAGTGGGGCTTCAGGGAGTAAGAGGGAATCTGAAGGGGGATGAGGGACGAGGGACGAGGGAGTAGGAATCTGAAGGGGGGCGAGGGACGAGGGAGTAGGAATCGGAAGAGGGACGAGGGACAAGGGACGAGGGAGTATGAAGAGGAAGTCGGACGTGGGGAGAGGAAGAGGGAGTAGGAATCAGAAGGGGGACGAGGGACGAGGGACGAGGGAGTAGGGAGAAGAAGTTGGACGTGGGGAGGGGAAGAGGGAGTCGGAGGAAGAGGTGGTAGGAGGGGAGGGAGTCGTAGGAAGTGGGTAAACAAGTGTATTTGCATGCCACTGTCAACAACCTCCAAGTAATAGTGCAGCAGGATGTAAATCAAGAGTGGGGCAGGAGACCAGTTGTTGTTAGCAGGAGTCCTGAATCGTCCCAGTCACATATTGAGCCCACCCGATCCCCATGTCGGTCCACTCTTACAGCCACCACCGGGACCAGTCAGTGTTTGTGTATAACCCAGGAAACGGTGAACTCTCCCCAGTCCTTGCTGACTGACGTGTTTGTACAGACCAGGGCAGATAGTACATTCTAGCACTGCTTCATGGTATGTGTGTTGTAGTCGCCACATCCTACCCTGGCCCGCTCTCTCAGACCTCCCACTCACAAAGTCACATCAGCCACCATGACAAATACCACACTCCTCCTCCAAACGCATGGAAATGACTTTCAACATAATGATCTTACTAAACAAAAAAACCTGCAAAAATAACTTCCTGTTTTGAAGTCTGAATATTTGTATCATAGTCCAAATCATAACATAAAACGCTCGAGTCAAGATTCCTCACCAAGCTTATGTATGCAATTCACAAATTAAGCATCACTGATCACCACCACTAAAAGCTAATAGGCTGGAGCTCAACATAACATACTTCTTTAAAAAAAACTAAAACCCCAACACATGCTTAGCTATCCTACTTCAGACTCAGAAGATACTGTTAAAACGCTTGTTATTCATCACTTGAACATAATAATCCTTCCTATTTCAGGATTCCGCCATCTATATTCCACACAGTACTTAAGAGCAATTTTCGTAGAAAGCGTTCAACTTAACATTTCAAAGCCTGCCGAGCAATTGAGAAATCGGAAGAGGCTTGTCGCGATTATGTGGAATGTATGCAATTAAGCAGGCATTGTAGTGTCAGTATCCTGCTTGGCTGTCCTGAAGGACTAGACCCTCTTAGATAGGTCAGCTAGCACCAACACCAACAGCCTTGTGCAAAGATGGGACCAAGTGTGGATCTCATTTCAGTCCTATTATGCAAAATTACATGAATTATAAAAAGATAGCATCGGTAAATACAATTTACATTTTTATTTCTTCAGATGAGTGAAAATATCATCAAACTTGTAACAAAATCTCAATATCAAGCTGATTTATTGTTTTGTATAATTCTTCTACTATGTCCCATTGTCAAATACAAATGAATACACTTAATCTGGTTAATTCTTTGATTCAAAGATTACCAATAAAAAACAAAGACATCTTTTAACCCAAAAAATCCCAAATCATTTTTTAGATATATTTTAAATTTCAACCTACAAATAATTATATAACTCAAAACATACAATAAACAATTACTGTAAGAATCTAAATCCCACATCAACGGTGCCATTAACTTGAGTGTATAAATATTTATGTGTTACACTTCAGCCATGTCCAAAAACATTAATTCTTCAGGTAAAATATGTTTGTGTTTGAGTGAAGCATGCGATGTGGCTCTGCCGTTCCGTCATGGTATTTAAGCCTCTAAGACAGTAGTCATTAATTATCCACAGCAGCTCTACTGATATGTGATGCAACACAATGCTAACTGGAGTGGAGCACCACGCAGTGCTACAATAGAGATGGGGAGGTTACCGTTTTCGACGTAATAAGCACCCAGGGCGCTCTCAAATTAAAATAGGGGGCTCTTATTAGAATATTATTTTCGTGAAAAAAACAGAGTTGAAAGATAAATTTTGTGGTTTATGCTGACAGCCTGAATGTTTATGTACGACAGATATATTTTTCTAGAATTTAATTGCCCATAATTAAGGGTGCATATAACACACGAGTGCGTATTGTATGCGAATAAATAAGTCTTGTGAACATTGATCAATCGGAAGGGGTGCTAATTAGGATTGTTCACTAGCCAATATATTAGCAAATACCGCCGTGAGCGCTTATTAGAGTGGGGCGCTTATTACGTCGAATACGGTATACACCATGATGGACTGACACCGGAACATTTTATTTGAATTATGTAAACCTTCACATCTGGACAAACAATTACCTGAGAAATTAGAAAACCTTAAAATATATACATGTTTTATTCACTTTACCTTAACTGGATACTACATGTACCGTGAGATCTTCTACCCCATTCACAGGAAAACCCCTTTCTGACCCCCTCATTCTAGGTATGAAAAAACTTTCCTTATATATATAGCGATGCAAAAAAATCATATTGTCCGCCAGTGAACTTTCAGTGTTTTCTTTTTATTAAAAAAACATTCTCATCCCTGTATACATGGTATTTAATATGTATAAATTATCCAATAGATATACTGTTCATTTAAGAAATTATGTCTCGGTTATGAAAATATTAATGAAAAAAAGGAGGATTTTTTATGAGAAACACATCATATAAAAATGGATTTTTTTAGGAGTAGCCCATCATGGAACTATTTGGAGGACTCATTTGTGGATGGGGGGTGGGGGGGGGTGGGGGGGGGGGGGGGGGGGGGGGCACGGGTGGCCCAGTCGTCTTAGGCGCCGCGATTCGCTGTGCAGAGTTGCGTCCCTTGGGCACGCCAGAAACCTATGATTGTGGGTTCGAATCCCAGTTCGCCCCGATTAAGTTTCTAGGTTTGTCAGCACCATACCCGTGCTCGTGGGTTTCACCGAGGTGGTAAATGTCTGAGACCTGCATCACTTCGGACTTTCTTCCCACATTAAGCTGACACGCCACAATATAACTGTAATGATGTTAAAAGCGGCGTTAAACCCAACTCACTCACTCACTCACTCACTCACTCACTCACTCACTCACTCACTCATTTGTGGATGTGAAAGTTTAGA